CAAAGCATCCATAGATGGTCTCCTTCCTGCACGCCCCCTACCAGGGATGGAGCTGGCAACCCAGGCATGTGCCCTGACCCGGAATTGAACTGGCAACCTTTCAGTTCACAGGACGACACCCAACCAACTGAGCCACACCAGCCAGGGCTAAGGCAGTTATTTTTATCCCCATTTAACAGTTGACTCAACTAGAGCAAAAGAGTAGTTTGAGTCAGAATATAAACTACAGCTGCCTAAATCTAAAGCTTGGCTTTTTGAACTTCATATCATTTTGGACTTGTAAAGTTGTATTTTATATGATTGGTTTTTGGCCTGATATTCTAGTTGGAGATTATTTCAGATTTTGATTCTATCAAGTTAATTATCCCTCCAAACTTTCGGTCAACTGAAAGAGGGACATCAGTTTTGCTGAGATGGGGGAGAGAGATGGAGGAAGACTGTTTTGGAGTAGATGGCCCTCAGCTGTTAGGTGGGAAGCACCATTACACCCAGAGTGAAAGTGGTGTAGAAGCAGTCTGGTTGTGAAGTAGGCATAAAAGACAATGGTGGCTGGCCGGTGTGGCTCAGTGGTTGAGCGTCGACCCCTGCACCAGGAGGTCACTGGTTCAATTCCCGGTCAGGGCACATGCCCAAGTTGTGGGCCCAGTCCCCAGTTGGGGGGAATGCAGGAGGCGTCCGGTCGATATTCTCTCTCGTTGATGTTTCTCTCTCTCCCTTCCACTTTCTTTAAAAATCAATAAAAAGAAATAAAAAAGGCAATGGAGTAGGCTGAGACGGTGGCACAGGTGGCCTAAATCTTCCATTAAGAAAAAAAAATAGTGGAAGAAACAAACAGTAAAGAGAAATTTGCCTTATTTGTGTCCTGTGTTAACTGTGGGAAGTCACAGACCAGGAGGCCATTGTCTGAGGAATGTTCAGGCTCCAGGAGGGGGAAGAAATGAGGGTATACAAAATGCCATCTCCACAGGGACAAGCCTTCCATTTTTTTTTTTTTTAATCCTCACCCGAGGACATTTTTTTCCCCCCATTTTTTGTTCAGATAGAGTGGGAGGGAGAGAGAGGAAGACAGAGAGAAACATCGACGTGAAAGGGACACATCAAGCGGCTGCCACCCGCACGACCAACCAGGGCCCAGGGCGCCCTTAGCAGGAACCGAACCTGGGTCTCTCTGGACCACAGGCCCATGCTCCAACTGCTGAGCCAAACTGGCCAGGGCAAGCCTTCCATTTTTACCTTTAATCTTACTATGTGCCCACACAAAAGCTGTGAAGTACCTCCAAGTTTTCTTATGACTAGGTTATTTAGACATATAGGATATAAACCAGGAGTTTTAAACCCTTGCACAGACTGTGATTACATATTTGGTGACAAGGACACACAAATGCCATACTTCTAAAGATACTTAACAGATGCTAACAAAAAGACATTTCAAAGTGAGGAACCACATATACCGGTGGGACAAGGCTTCTAAGAGAAACCCATGTTGCTCAGGAAACAGTATGGACCCTGGGGCTGGCCCTCGGCTCAGGGCCTAGGGCCTAGGATTCCTACCCCAAGGTGGTACTAGAATCTCTGTGCTGTTTTAGTTTGGAGCAAAACAGGAAGTTTCATTCATCCTGTCGTTTGGCCAGATAGGATCCTTTGAAATCCTTCCTTGCTTGTTCATGAAATTAGCGGGCTCTCTGGTGTGTTGAGAGTGAACCACGGTATTAAAGCAGGGGCCCCTCCAAGCCCATGCTTTCTCCAGCCTGTCAGGTGGCTCTTTGTGCTGCCAACATGTGTATTTCGAGTATGTCCAGTGCCCCAATGTGACCGTGACCTTCCAATGAACGCGATGAACCACTTCAGCCTCCACCTGGAAACAATACTGGTTTGGTCCCACCTCATACCATCCATCCATGTAAGTCCTTAAAATGCGACCCTTGATTTCCTCTTTACCAAGACTATTGGCAAAGTGATTCAACGCCAACATTTACTTAAAAAAAATAAAATAAAAAGTTGGTTCGAGTTGGAAGCGGGAAGCCCGGCACAGTGTGATTTTAGAGCCGGTTTTCAGACGAGGAAGAGGTGCAGGGACGCTCGGCCTCCAGGTGCGGCTGCGGCCTGCAGGTGTCCGGGGCTGGGCGTGGGCGGCGGTCCTCCCGGGCCTGGCCCGGGCTGCGGGGCACTCGGCCGCCCTGCAAGCCGGCGGGGACACCGCTGGGTAACTGTCCCGGTGCGGGAGGCACGGTGATTGGGTGCAGTCGTGTTCCATGTCGGTTCCGGCTGTAGGTGGGGTGTGCGCGCCGGAGGGGACCGGGAGGAGCTGAGACCCCTCCTGAGCTGTCCTGGGCACTTTCTCCAGGGGCTGGTGCCCCCAGCCTAGTCAAGTGGCCCCTCCTCGTCGCATCCGAAGTGGCGGGAAGCCGGGTCTTTGGAGGCGGCCCCGAGGCGAGGGAGGCTGTAAAACGTGGAGGAGGATCCGGCGCGCCCGGCCCGGGACAGCGCCGGGCTCAGGGCCCGGCCTGCAGGTAGGCGCCCGGCGGGCGAGCGGCGGGGGACCCCGGGGCAGGGGCCGCGGCGGCTGGCGGTTTCCGGGCCCCCCGCCCCCGCGCTCCGGCCGGTGGGCGATGGCGGCGGCGGTTTCCCGGCTCCCCGCCCCGGACGCCGCTGGCGGTGCGTCCGACCCTCCCCCACGCGCCTGTCCCCCGCGGCGGCCGGAGCCGGTGAGCCGGCGGGCGGGGGGCGGCGGGGCGGGGGCGGGCGGAGGTTGCGTGGTGCAGGCGGCGGCGGCGGCGGCGGGAGGAGGGCCGGCGGGCGGGCAGGGGAGGAGGCGGAGGCGGGGGCCGTGTCGCACGCAGCTCCAGGCGGGGCGGCCCGGCGGCTGAGGGACGCAGCCAGACCTTGGCGGGACGGGGATTTCACCGCGGCCCGGGCTCAGCGACCGGGCGGGGACGTCGCCGGAGCCATTTCGGCAGCAGGGAAATGCGGGTGAGTGTGGCGGCGCCGGGGCCGCGGGCAGGCGGCGCAGGCCCGGCCGGAGCCGCGGTGTCGCAGTGACGGGCCCGCGGCGGCCGAGCCCAGGCGCCGGGCGAGGCCTGAGCCGGCGAGCCGCGGCCGTGCGGAATGGCGGCGGGGCCGGGGCTCCTGGGCGGGGGGCGCCGCGGGCCCTGAGTCACCGCGGGCGCGGGCGCGGGCGGCGGGCCTGGCCACGCACCGGGAAAACGCCCGATTCATCGCGCCCGGGGCGGCGGCCTTGTGGCGCCCGGGCCGGGGCCGCTCGGCCGTGCGCGTCTCGCCTCCCGCGACCCCCGCGGGCGCCCGGCCTCGTGCCCTTCTCCGCGCCCCTGGGGACCGCTCCTCCCCGACTCGTGGTCTCCGGCGCTGCGGGGCCCGCGCGCCGGCCGCCCCGCTTTCCGGTTCCCCGCCGGCATTGTGGCGACGGTGCGGGTCGCTATTATTGGGTCACAGTCGCCCTTTGGCTCGGCCCCCTCGGGGCAGCGGGCCGGGGAGGCGGCAGGGATGTGAGTGCGGCGGCGGGACGGCCCGGAGCCCCCGGCGCCCGCGAGTCGGGCCGGGCCTGCGCGGCGGCCTCGGCGCGCCCCCGACCCTGCGCCCCGCGGGAGCGCGCGCTGACCCCGCAGGTAACCGCGCGCGGCCCGGGCGCCCCTGCCACCTGGGGACGTTGCGCGTGCGGACGTGGTGATGGTCTGCAGAGGGCCGGGCTTTGTGAACATTCCTGGAGACGAATCCCCCAAGTCGGGGGTTTTCCTCCGCAGCCAGAGCTCTGCCAAAAATAGGGTTCTCGCTTCCGATTGGAGGGCTGCCGTCGCTTTTAGTTCGTCGTTGGGGTTAGTGGTTAGTGTGCAAATACGGAATCGCATCCACTCACTCGGTGCGTGTGTGCTCCCGTGTAAGGGCCCTTCCCGCGGGGGCATGGAAACAGCCCAGGTTAGGAGTGGGCTCAGTGGTCACGCAGTTTCTGAAAGGCGCGTCTGGGGGTGACAGAAGGGGAACCGAAGTCGCTTTTACTTCTAAGTCCCGAGCTTCCAGGACCTAAACCTACCTTGACCCGCGGCATCTGCGTGCGATTTGAAGTTGAACACTCCATTTTGTGGCCGCCCTGCCCAGCTCATTTTCTGAAATCCTGGAGAGTTTGGAAGGTGGTGGAAGGTTAGGGTCGGGGTTATCTTGTGTAGCAAAAACATTGGGATGTGAGAAATGTGTGTGTGTGTGTTTAAAAAGTTCTTGGATATCAGAAGACATTTTGCTTGAAAAAGTGTTTTCCTCTTTGTTCTTTCTCGTGGTAAGTGGATATACAGTGGGTTCGCATTTCAGATTTCGAAGCGTGCAAACATAGTAAGACTGGCTCGCCTTAACTCTGTTATGCCCATTTTTGGAGGTGTCAGGAGAGTGCGCATTAACGTGAGAAGAAGGGTGGCTGAATTATTCTCTAAGAATGTTCAAACTGTTTTCTGTTTCTCATTGGTGTCATCTTTTAAAAACTATTTTTGCCAAAATGGGGGGTACTTTAAGTATATTAGGGTTTGTCTCCAGTTTATGAAATTCACCAGCCATGATCTCAGGTCCTTGCGAGGCATGACCCCTATTCCTAATATGTCATCAAGAGGACCACGGGACAAATGAATGCCTGAGCTGATTCTGCAGTTTGCTTAGCTATTACATATACAGCCCCTTAGATTCCATTGCCTCTTACTCATTGGTATCTTCCAGAGGTAATTCACTTCATCAGCTTCCTTTCCCGTGCATTTCAGACTATGAATCCTTGAAGGAGAGGATAGTCCTTACTTATTTTTGCACCCCTACGACAGCAAAGAATTTGGACATGGGTACCTCAGTTGTTGGTTTTTTGTTGTTGTTTTAATCCTCGTGTGAGGATATTTTTCCATTAATTTTTATATAGAGTGGAGGTGGGGGAGAGACAGACACACACGGAGGGAGACGTCAATTGGTTGCCTTCCACACAGCCCCAACGGGGACTAGGGATCAAACCCTTGACTCTAACCACTCAGTTCTAACCACTAAGCCAAACTGGCCAAGGGCCTCAGTTGATTTTTGAAGGAATAAATCTTCTGGAATAATTCTGACCTAGTGTTTGATCACTTCTGATTTGGGCTGAAGACAGTAACTGCACTTACACTGGGTAAGAAAGCAAGCCTTATTGTGGTGATGGTTATAGCTCTCATTTCTAATGTGGGGCCCCAACAGGCAAATGCCCAGGTGTTCTTTAGCTATGGTAATCCAGGAAAATGCCAAGAAAACAAGTTGTGTAACTTTAATTTGCTTCCTTCCTTTCAAAACTAGCTTTAAGGTGTAGATTTTATTTATTATTTATTTTAAAACACGATTGGTCTTTTCAACAATTAAATATTGCAACCTTGCCTTTAAAATTAAATCATTGAGTTGGTTGAGGCCCTTTCCTATTGGAGAGGTGCGGCAAACCCGGTGGCGGTGGTACAAGTCCTATGTGACATCTCTTACAGGGATGACCATTTTGGGCCCTTGAGGGCCTTGTATCAGAAGTTCACTCCCAGTATACCCAGCAGGCATAGTGTGCCTTCCTGTCAGCATGGAAACTTAAAATGGATGTGCTTGAAATTGAACAGTTATTTGCCATTCTTCAAATGAAAAATTAGGGTCCAAAACTCTTAGGAATGTGTTTGTGTTTTTATTCTTTGCTGTTTCAGCCTTCCATAGGTCCCAAAGCCTCTGCAACTGAGTCAGTCTGGAATAAAATGTCTTTGGGGAACCAGTTTTTAATGTGTTTTTTTAGATATGTCTGGATAAAAGAGTGTACCATTTTTAAGGACCATTTGAAACTAGCTTTTCTTGATATCTGGTAGTTTCTCAGCAAGGTGTGTTTTTTGTTTGCTTTTCAAAACTGATAAATACACATTAAATGAAGAATAAATCAAAGTTAAATAAAACCTTAAGTTTACTCTATTACTAAGGACTTTGAGCTCCCTGTTTATAATGTATACATCTAATGCACACTATAAACAAGATAATTATCCTAACATGTAATGTGTTTTTTAAAGTTTTTATTCACACATGTTTTCTGGCTTCTAAAACTTATTTTTGCTTAGGCGTAGAACATTTTGCTTTGAGAAGACATGGGATCTAGTTTGAGCTTAATTTTTCTGGGTGTTCATTTCAGCATTTGTAAAATGAGATGATTTTTTTAAATTGACACTGTTTGAGATTTCTTTATAGGCCCTCAAAGCATGTGGATTCCATGGGTACATCATAGCTTTTAACATCAACAGCATTTGGAAAGCTGTCCCATAAAGCATAATCTTATTCACCTTAGGAAAGCGGAGTTGTGAAGCCCATGTTTGACAGTCATTTAAAGTTTTTCGCTGGGGAAAAGGAACTTGGGTGAAGGAAACAGCCCTCTTCCATGCTTCCCCCAGGCTGCACTGTCACTGCAGCCCCAGTGCCCAGAGGCTCCATGCTGCCCCCTCCTCTGCTTCCACTCATGCTCGCCTCTGTCTGGGGCACCATAGCCCTTTCCTGTCACCCAACAGATTACTGTACGGCTCCTTACAGAGGCTCAGCTCAGCCCCTACACGCCCCCCCTTCCCATCCCATCCCAGGCTAAGAGACTTCCCTGGGGTCCTGCGAGTCCCTGCCTGGGTCACTGTCCCAGTACTTAACCCTTGGACTGGATTTGGTGATTTCTCCCACTAGGCAGACCTCCTTTAGGTCAGGGACTGTGTGGTGCGCATCTCCCCCTTAACACACTGCGCGCATCGACATTCATGTGACTCCTCCTTTCTCCATGGACATCCTCCCTCTTTAAACCTTTACCAAGTCCATGAAGTGTAAGTGCTATTGTTTGGTCCGCCTTATAGGTTAAGAAATAGGCTTTTGAGTGGTTAGGGTCAGGCCTAGTAGGTAGTAAAGCCTGAATTACTATGAGACAGGGACTCCAGAGCCCCAGGTTTTTTGTTTGTTTTTTTCTAATTTTTTTAAATGGTTTTTTATTGATTTTTTTTTTTTTTAAGGGAGAGAGAGATAGAAACATTGATGTGAGAAAGAACCATCGATGAGCTGCCTCCTGCACGCTCCCACTGGGGATTGGGCCCGACACCCAGCATGTGCCCTGACCGGGAAATCGAACTGGGACCTCTCAGTCCGTGGGACGACGCTCAATCCATTGAGCCACACCAGTTGGGCAGAGCCCCAGGTTTTAACCAGAATTTCCGTAAGCATGGGATTTATATAAAGGTGGAAGAGGAGAAAAGATCAAAATGAAAATGCTCTAAGGATTGATATCTGATCATTGATAATTATGACAGAGTTCATTATGCAGGACTTGATCAACTACCAAGAATGAACTATTCTTCTTGGTCTTTTAGTGACTGGTCATTGAAGGAGAGGAACTGGGACAGAAATGAACAGTTCTTGAACTTTGGGACTGTTGTGAATTTGGATGTGAAGGTTGTAAAACCACTTAAGACCATTCAAATCTAACAAGCGGTAGTTTTTAAAAAGGCCTGTCTTAGAACATGCTTTGGAAACAGATTGTATGAACTGTATGTAGCCATTTAAAATCTGTGCATAAAGTGTGGGTATGCATTGGTGAACACATTTGAAGTCATTAAAATGGTTGTAATTTTAGGATGGTAAACTTTGTGCTTTCAAAATAGTTTTCCAGGGGAGCCCTGGCCGGTTTGGCTCAGCGGTTAGAGCGTTGGCCTGCGGTCCGGAGAGGCCCGGGTTTGGTTCCCGTTAAGGGCACGTACTTCGGTTGCAGTTTGTCCCCGGCCCTGGTTGGTCGTGCGGTGGCAGCCACTCGATGTGTCCCTTCACGTCGATGTTTCTCTCTCTCTGTCTCTTCCTCTCTCTCCCTCCCACTCTATCTGTACAAAAAATGGAAAAATGTCCTCAGGTGAAGATAAAAAAAAAAAAAATAGTTTTCCAGGGGAAAAAAAATTTAAGACCCAAAAGAGAATGAAAATGATCTCAGGATGGAGAAAGCCTCTCAAAGCATCACACCAAAAGTAGGGACTGTGAAAGAAATGGTTCATTTGCTTACTTTAAAATAACTAAACTTCTCTGTGTTAAAATGTCATAAACAGAATTCAAAGGCAAATGGCACACTCAGAAAAATATTGTTAACCTCTAAGCAAATTTGCTTTCCTTGCTAAAGATGGCTGATAAATGAAGGAGCAGGAAACATGAAAAAAAAGTCAGCTTCATTAGCAGTCCTCCTGGAAATGCAAATCACTGAGATACTGTCTTTAAAATTTTTGGCATACATGAAAAAAATCGGCCCCTTCTGGTGAGGGTGCAGAGAAATGAGCCTACTTATACATTGCTAGAAAGAGTATAATTTAGTATGATTTTTCTGAGAAATATGTAACAAAAGCTTATAAAATATGCATGCACTTTGGAATAGCTAATCTACTTCTTAGGATTTAGTCTAAGAAAATATTTAAAAAATGACAAGTAGATTAATATTCTGTCACGGGCACGCTGTTCAACTAATGCCTCTCACTGAGCATTCCTTTTCTGATTTTTGCTAGTCAGGGCGACTGTCTCAGCATTGTTCAGATAAATCTCCGCATTGCTCCTGTGCTTTATTTAGTGCATATTCGGTGCATATTAAATGACAAAAACATGCTATACAACAATATATATAATGTATAAAAAAATGTTTAGTGTGAGTAAATACATTTAAAAAAGATAATAAACCAAAATGTTAATAGGGATTATCTCTGAGCAGGAGAATTATGGCTTATTTTTATTGTTTTGTTTTGTTTTTTCCTCCAATTTTCTGCAGCGCACTTGTATTTGTAATACGGTGAATTAATTTATAAAAACAACAAAAAGCAATAGAAGCTGTGGGCCTACTTGGGAGCAAGATGTTTCCGTGCAGTTTAGTGCTGAGATCATGGTGTTCGCTGTCCTTGCAGGTCCCTTTCCAGGTCTGTCCCGTGTAGGAGTGAAGGTCTGGCTTCCCAGCAGGCTATACTTCCTGGGCTGGTTTCGTCTTTGCTGGTCTAATCTTCCCATTCTTTCCTTCATATCTTAACCCTTCAACTACCTCAGGTGCCCTCATTGCATGCCCTCCATGAAACTGTCTTCCTCTCATGAAAGGCACTTATGCTTGGGTATTTTATTAAATGATAATGCGGGATTATGTACTGCTGAATCGTTCTCACGTGGAAGTTTCCTTTCCTTACTAATATTGAATTCCTTAGTCTTCTAAGTGACACAAATTAGCGATACTGTTGGAATTCCGAGAAAATAGGTGCACAGAAATGGGTCACCAAATGTGAGGGGAAAAGCCTTTACTATGTAGAGATTAGTTAAGTATATACTAACTAAAATAGTTAAGTGTGCCTAGAAAGCATCAGAAGTCAAGACCTGGGAGCAGGGCCAGAGAGCTCAGCCCCCTCCCTGAGGGATGGAAGAGGCCTGCGTGGTTGGACGCATCCTGGGTGGGGTTAAACACAAGCCTCGGCCCACAGACGCATGGGTCCCAAGTGGCCCTTTGCCTCCCTGAGCCCTGAGCTCACGTGGGGGAACCAGGAAATGTTTGGTTTGTGCAAAGGTGGAGAAGAAAGAGTCTACGAGTAGTTTCTTCTGACTTGTAGTCTACAGATTTAAGATCCGTACAAGATTTACTTACAGGTTCTTCCTACCACCATTTAGCCAGCGTTTAGTGTGTGCACAGACCAGGCTGAACATGGGACAGTGACCTTGCAGCTGCTCCCCTCAGCTTGCTTCTTGTAAATGCCTCACTTTGGACATGGGTGCAGGGATTTTTTACTGGCCGATGGAGAGGGTCTTCTGTTTGACAAAGGGAAGGCTTAGGGATGCAGAAGACACTAAGACACTAAGCCGGTTGAGCACTTTTGCCCAGTTGTTAGCTGGTACCCTTGTAAATGTGTGGGTGACTGCCCTGTGTGGGGTTGGGTTGGGTTTGGTTTAGTAGGGGCATACCTGGTGAAGCATATACCTGTAATCACTTTGGACATTATGAATTGTTTCTTTGTTTTGGTTACTATTATTTTTATAACACAGGGGAGGAAGAAATTCTACCTCTACCCTAATTAAATCGACATGAGACAGAAAATACCAAATTTAATTACATGCTTATGTATGAGAACCCCACAGACATGAGCGAGTCAG